TCAATCAAATTTATTTAATGAACAATTATTTTAAACTTCGATACGTAAATTGAATATTTCTAAATTTAGTTATTATTTTAAATTTATTAGGAATAATAAAAGAAATTTATAAGGGCACAGGATTAAATTTTAATACAAAATCGAATGTTTATATTTATAAAATGTTTGTTCAATAATACAATTATTTGTCGAATAATTTTGATAATTTGATTATTTTACTCTTCTATCGAGAGACCGCAAATGATTAGAAAGCACAGTGATAGGAATATAATCTAACGAGAGAGTGACTACTACTTTGTTACATGAGTCTCATGGCATATTCATTACAGGTTAAAAACCGGTTTTCCCTCAATCGATGCATTGCTTTTGAGATGAATAGCGAGAAATCTATTGCATTGATTATCTTTAAACTTCTATTCATTATTATTTAAAGATATTATCCTGTTTCGGAAAGTTTTATAATTAGTTTAGAGTCCATTAAATTTAGTTATAATATCATCTGTATATAATGATCTATATTATTATTAATACAACAGATAATTATGTTGACCATAATGAAATTAAATAGCATGTTAAGTGAGTCATAAACTTGATAAAACACATATTATATTTTTAATCGGTTTAAAGAGAAACGGATTAGATATTAGATATTCAAGAAAAGACATTCTAACATAAATTGCTTAGAAATGATAGATATAAATTTCAAAAAAAGATTTTCAATACAAAGTCCGAGATAATTTCATTGGAAAACTGTAGCTTAAACATTCTTTAATAGTATATTTTTTTTAATCTACTCATTAATTTGTTGTGCTATCAGAGAGAACATGTATTTCTGGTTGACTTATTTTTAATTTCTAAAGTTTTATCTTTGTGCTACATTCTGCACTCTAATAGTTAGTTGAAGGTTTATTTTTGAATAATATAAAATACATTTACATTTCTTAGTTTTCCTTTCTTTTTTTTTTTAAATTAATAACATCGAGAAAAAAATGTAATAAGTTTATATTATACAATATATTCAATATTCTTCGTAATTTTATACAATATGAATAATTATTGTACAATTGTGCAATTGCATCGTCACGAATGATTATATCGAAATCACATATAAACAGTCATTTATTATATATGTTTCAAAAGAGAATTCCTTCACTGTCCATTTTTTAAACTTATCTTGATCTGTTTTTTTTGTACTTGTTAAATCGACCGAGAAGTAGAAAAAGTTAGATCTTATCGATGTCTGACTTTAACACGAAACAGGTTGTTTTTTTTATTAAATTTCATACAAAAAAACACATTGATCTATAATATTTTCACAATATTAGTTGCAATCTACTCGATTTAAGTCGCATAACTTTGAATTACATTTGAGAGAAAAAATTTAAATAAAAAAATAAAAACTTTTTCCAAACTTATACTGCATATTAGAATTATGCATTAGTTAGTAAATAGTAGTTAGTAAATAAATCAAAGAATTCATCTTAATCAAATATAATAATATATAATAAAATTTGATTTTTTATTTATTTACTATTACCAACGAAATCAATACTTCATGAGTAATTAATAAAAAAAAAAAAACACAATTAAAGGATTGATACTGACAGAACAAGTTTGTTTGCGTTTCTTTAGGCTCTCGAAAGAAGAACCAAGGGTTCCTAAAGTTCTTTTTTCAAGGTCTTGCAAAGAAAGAAAATAATAAATACAAGTAGACAGGTAGAAAGCAGAAAAGAGAGAAAGAAAAAAAGAAGGACGTTGTGAGGAGGAGAAGGGTCAGAGGAGAACCGAAGCTTGAAGGCCCCACGAGCATAAAATGGTAAACGGATCTTTGCACGCAGGAGACATAACAGCAGGGCAACCGATTTATATTCGCTCCTTAGCTCGTGCATAAGCTTTACGATATGTATAACCACTGGTGCTATAGCCATTGTTCGTCTTAGGTTAGTTTCCCATTGCTGATTTGCCGTCGTAAAATGTTTGACCGTTCGACATTTACTTTGAAAGACTCCCGAATGCAATAATGCAAGATTGTCTTCACATTTGTTGTTTCTTTTATTTGCGAAAAGACAAATAGATACATATTGGAAAAAACAAAAATTATATACGTGAACAAACTCTTGTTAAACATACCACGTACTCATCAGTATCCTTATAAGTAAACATATAATTACTAATGTCATTAAAAGGCTAACTTTCCATGCATCAGGGAGTGAGATGTACATTAAGAAAGATATGAATGTGGAATACGTAAATAATCGTTTATTTAAAACTTACCTAAATACACATTGGTAATAAGATCAGCGACGAGAAAACATTTGAAAATAACAAATATATTTATTGTATTTGTACGTGCTTAAAAATACGATCTATTTATGGAAGAATGAAATTTATTTACTAAAAAGAAATTCCATCCTCTGTTAATAGGAAAACAATTTGTAGGCCTTAAGAGAAATAACATTTAATAAATATTCTGTTCTTATTGAATAATTTCAGCTGACACAGAAAATAAATGTTCGCACGTAAAAAATATTGATAAAATAAAATTTATTCACCAATAATTCATTTTTACGAAAAATTGATAATAAAATACTATTTCTAAGAGAGTTTCTCGTTTCAAAGCCAATTCAAATAGATATGTACTATATATAAAATAGAACAATTTGATATTTCTTAATTGCATTATACTAATAAAAATGTTTTTCGTTGAAAAGACTGGACGTAACTTTATACTTTTGTAAGAGGAACGGATGTTGCGGTAATTGAAGAAAGTCGTACACTAGGGTGGACGTTGTACAGCTGCAAATACTATTTCTGTAATCGTTTAGTCGATTTTAATCCTCTTTTTGCGATTAATTATAATATTCGCAATATAAACTGCTTTCTGTTCGCATCGATAAATAAGTGCACGATTAATTCATTTTATTTAAATATAAAGTATACTAAAAATATGCATTTTGGTGCTAAAAATAAGCTGCCGATTGAAAAAAATATAGATTTCTATTTAAAAAAATTAAAATAACTTTTGTCCTCTTTAATCAATAGAAAAATTCTTCCTCAAAATTGGATAAGCTTCGCTTAAAGGTTTTAAAACAAAAAACCACCAATTTTTTTGTCTCCGGATTTATAACAGTGCAGTGTAGGTGGCAGGTATTTTTTTTGAAACGAAATCGAACTATGAATTGAAAACTAATTATGAAGCACACCATATTAATAAACAAGAAGAATAATAAAATAGATTATAAATAWAGTACAAAAATATATTATCCGGTTATAAAGATATAGTTCATAGAGTTGAACGTAAAGTTCAACGTTCTAATTACAAGAACAAGTTCTAATTACGTAAGAATTAATTCTTAAAATTTATAACGAAACTAATACTTAATATTGTATATTAAAATACAATGTTTTGAAAAGATGAATATGAGAACGTTTAGAAACGAAATATATCAGCAATTTATGGTCGCTGAAAGAGCAAGAAAATCGCACTTACGAGCGAACTACGCTAAATATAAACACCGGGAAGACTTCTCTTTTCGTCTCCCTGTCGTGCTAGTTCCATTTAATGAGCTTGTATAAACCTGTTCGGAGGTGCAAGGAAGAAATAATTGCTTTGCTCGTTGCTTATGATCGAAAGAACACATTCTCGATGACAACATGGCTTTAAAATTTTCTAATCGTAAATATCGTAAAGTTAGGTAATAAAAGATACTCTTAAATAGAGAATTCACAAACTATGCAACTATCTTTTATTATTTCTTATGGAGATTTACAACAATCTTCGCTAAAGAAATATTTATTTATTGGTGTTTGCTAATCTAACAACTTTTCTGAGTTCTCCAACACGACAAACGATTATATTGTAAATGAAAAATCAAAACTAAAATATTAGCGTGCAACAAAATAAGCATTTAGATTAGACTCTATGAATTTTAAATAATTTTTTTACTGATATAGAAAAAGCAGGGGTAACTAGAAAATAAAATAAGGTGTTGAAATCGTACCTTTAATATTTTTATTTTACTAACGTATCAAAATCGTATCAAAAGCGAATTTCATTGAAATAAATGAAATCAATGTTAAATGAAGTTTTAAAAAATATAGAAATTTCTTGTTTATATATATAAATTTATACATTTTATATACTTTTTTCTCATGAAATACGATTTTAGCAACCTTTCAATATACTATCAATTTTAAGTAAAATAGCTAATATTTTGTACATCTAATTCTAAATTAATTTATGACAAAAAAAGATCTTAGTATCAGGTATCTGTTTTTCTGCTGAGGTAATTATCATAGTGGATAAAAGAATCTCCGAGAATTTATTCATGAAACGTAACAAAAAATGTTTTTGCTATCAAAATAGTACACATATTTGATCAGAAAAGAAGAAGGTATAAACGACAATGACAATGTGTAAATTAAACAGTAGCAACGCAAATTTAATTAACCGACAATTAAAAAGGAAAAAAATTGAAAGAATGATAAATGAATCGAGTCTATTAGCAATTGAGTGGCAATTGAATAAGTTTAAAGAGTTGCTCTTAGGACGCGCGGCCGACTTTCGTTTATATGCTAGTCATGTGAAAACCACGCCTTAAGAGGTCGGCCATTTTGATTCGAGAACGGACGAATTCCCATTGGCTATATCTTCGCGTGAATTCAGGCTATTTCTCTTGCCAAACTCACGAGGATTCCCTCCTTGAACAACACAGCAGCAGGTTAAAAAGTATATACAAAATTTACTATCTTTATCTTATTTGAGTTAAACATTTTTTCACACAACACGTAGAATATGTATATTTTTTTCGCTTAAATCGAAGTAAATGGAAAACCGGGGTACCTTCGAGTATAGTGATTTTTCTCGATTTATTTCGATAATTCCTTGAATAAACATTTAATAACTTAAACCTATTGTAAAATACTTAACTACTTATTCAATGTTTGAATAATTGATATCCAATATTTCTGCTTTTCAATTAAATACGTAGATACTTTATATAATTAATCTGACTGTATAACAACTACGCTATGAAAATGTGTTCAAATTTGTAAGTTATATTATTTTATTTTATTAACAGCTATATATATTCAGAACATTTTGGAGATATATGAAATATAATTTGTTTGAAACAGCAAACAACGATATACAAAGCTTGGAACTTAACACGGTGAAAAACTTGTGGAGCGACAATAGGTTATACTATCCTGAATTCATACCGAAGACAGATATCACAGATGCGCCAACTTACGAAGGTGAAGCACCGTTCATTGGAGATCCGACCTCTCAAGTTTCTGAACACTTCACATCACAACCGCACCTCAAAAACACCCACATACCGACAAACAACAGCTCTTCGGAACATTATACCAAGTAGTCATGGTGAGTTTATCTAATTTTCTCTTTCCTCATTTTTCCCCTTATTTTATACCTATCAAACTTATCTCCCATAATAATACTCTACGTAACTAATATTTTTTTTTTTTATTATTTTAATGGATCTTAGATATTTTCTATGATTATTTGCGTGAAAACTTGACAGGTTGAAATGAACATTCATGAATTATATATTTATACTCTTTTTCTCTCTTCTATACAAATTATGAAAATTTCTATCCTGTTATTTTCATCAATACGCGAAACTTATTTTATTTTTCTTAAAAAGTAATCAAGGAAATATAAAATATAATTTCTCATCTTACGGTTTAAGTTCATTTTTTTTTAGCTCGCAATTTGTTATTACATTCATATATATACGTAAATCAAATAAATATTTATTCCATTTTTAATATTAAATTAATATACATTAATGATTTTATAAGAGATCTCACAAAAACAATTTTTTTCTTTAGCATACATTGTGATTCATCATTTCTACTAAATATTTTTTTGTTATTCTTTCAAATTTATATGATTTTATGTTGTTATCAGAAGTCTTGTCAAATTTCACCGTTGGACTGACTCATTGTCATGTATGAAATATATTAATTGTTCTCAAGAAAAAAAATCTAATAATCATTACACGGTGTATAATTTTAAGGAACACTAATCACTGTATGTATGAATCAATTGAAATGGAAATTAATTTCCATGTGATAATACGAGTTTCACTTTTATCACAAGGAGGAGACCACTCACTTTGTTTTTTATTTTTTATTTTATTAATCAAAACGTAAATATTTGTATTTTTTTGTTCTTTTGTTAAAGATTCGTTTGCATCAATATTTCTAAAAAAAATCGAGTTATTATTTAAATTATAATTACAATTAATTTTTAAATACGCGCAAAGTTATTCGTTTATCGGTATAAATCAAATACTACAGATAATATAAAAGTCAGAGAAAAAAGTATTTTTATTAAACATGTCTAATCGTTCTTTGTTCGAATTATTGACAAATACTCGAGAGTCCTAAATTTGAAATGTCTACCCTTTTTTTCTTTTTTATCGAGAAGTCTCGGTGGGACGTCCTACTTCTTTTCTAAAAATCTTTTTTACTAATATTCATCGAAGATAATAATAATAGAAAAAAAGTCTATCGACGACAAAAACGATTGGTCCGATGCTTTAAACAATTAATACGTGTGATATTTGTCAATGGAACGAACCTGATCAAAAATGCCGCGCCGAATTGGTTATTATATCACATTTTATGTGATTTTTACGTTTCTTCGAAAGTGGAATCGCGTGCTTCTGTCTCCTTTCACAAGACTATATTTCATCCGAATTGAAATTCTTTCAAGGAATATTCCGAAGGAACATTTGTATCCTTCTTCCATCGAACGGCACGATTTTATGTGATATCGGAGAAATGTTAGTTGAAACAAATTAAATCTACGACAAAGATGATTATTCAAATGATTTAACGCTATTATAGGAAGTGTTACTAAATCTAAAGAAAATTAAAAGAAATTATAATTTTAATTTTTGTTTTCTATAACGTTGTACTAACTGCATCAATCACTTGTTTTGTGGCAGATTCTTCTGACGCCTGTCATGGTTCAATATCTGTTATTTTGTTACAAATAATTGAATGTGCAATATCTATACTTCATATTAAGTGATATAAACAAAGCTATAATCAAACGATGATTTTTCTTACGTACAAATACTCTTTCTAAAAAGATTATTTTCCTTTCTCTGTCTTTATCTTTCTTATTTTAACATTATCCAAATTAAAGTATTCTTCTTTTTGTTCTTTTTGTTCGAGACGAAGTTCGTGGTCGAAAGAGTAATCACAAATCTGGTGCTCGTAAAACAGATTCTAACCAATAAAATGGCCTTCTTTCCTAGAAGTAGTCAGACCGTAGTAGCGCTTGAAGCAACAACCAGTATCCTAGACTCAAAACGTTGCGGCTCCATCGACACTTTTGTAATTATCTGTTGTAGTCTACTAGGGATTTGTTTCCTTTTTTCTTCTTCAGTTATTTAACCATCTTATACGACTTCATTCCAAGTTTTTCCTTATTTTCCATGCTTGAGATAAATTTGAAGAAAAAAAATGAAGAAACAAAAACGTAATGCTTAAATATCCAACAAATTTGAAATAATGAATTTTATTAAATTGGAACACCATCGCAACGACAACTGGATCGCGCAACACAAAGATTTAGACAAAAAATATTAGGTAGAAGAAGGTAGATATAATTTTTGAGATAGAACTTCATCAAAGCAGCCGCCTCGCGAGCCAATCGAAGGGGGAATGCAGAATTTGAGAGCTTTAACGGCACGGTTTTAACGATGACAACACTATAAAGAATCGAATTTACGAGTGCTGACCATCTTCTGACCCATCTCTGTTCATATCGATGGTCGACTACCTGGCTCGTTAAACGGATTAAAAGAAACTGCTGTTTCCATCTTTTCTTTCTCTTAACCTTCTTACTTTTTAATAATCACAGAATTATCGATATCATTTTTATTATTATATTGCAGGTATATAGCATATTTTTTTCCAAATTTAATTTTTTCAATTAAAAAATTTGTTTGCGAAACAACAACTCACAATTAAATTAGCATAAGAGTTAATTGATAAATTTTAATTGAATATAGACTCTTTACTCAAGTATATTTGTCAAATACTTATATTATTCGTTATTTCGAATTTCTTTTAAAAATTCTAAACAAAATACTAAACTAGAAATAATGTTCGAAAGAAAGACAAAGATTCTAAAGTTTTCACTACGCTACACATCGAAAGATTCCCTTATACGAGGACATAAAATCGATGAATCTCATTCGATACATAAAATGAATTGATGTTCTATTTAAAGAGAAGAAGTCTATAGTTCTGCAAGCTATACACAATGTCAACGCGTACCGGAAAACCATGTGACATTTTTTACTATCATATGAAAGGAATATGATCGAAATAAGAAAATTATAAAAAAAAAAAAAAACACTGTATAATTTCCATAAACGAAAATTACATTAAAAGAGTGATATTACAATTCATCTTAAAAATCATCTTTGTCATTTCATTCAAGTTAATACAATAGAAATATTGTTTTTAATCTCTCACATCAGGATTTAGAAAAAAAAAAAGAAATGCAATGTCGTTTTTGGGAAAAACAAGAAAAGAGAATCGTGTGATAAAAAGAAATGGAAATGTTTAGGTTAGGCTAGATAGATTGTTTTTACAAGGCATGGATGTATCATAAGGAAAAAGGGGTGCGATTCGCGGATCAAGCACGAAATCAAAATTTATCGGTCGTATATCCGTCCAAGTAAAAGTCGTTGAAGTCGAAGAAGTATCAAGCGTCGTCATCGTCGTCTACGTAGTCGTCGTAGTCGTACAAATGCGCTCGTAAAAGCGGCCTAAAAATGTTTGGAATCGCTAAGCGACTGTACGTACTACTATGACCGTAGAAAAAACGGAAGGATGAACGATTGAAAGAAAGAAAGAAAGATAGAGAAGGAAAGAGAGAGAGAGAGAGAGAGAGAGAGAGAGAGAGAGAGAGAGGGAGAGAGAGATAAAAAGATATGAAAATGAAAAGGACGAATAAAAGCATCTCTTGCTCACCCTTGGTTATCTTGAATACAGATTGCAAAAGCTTACGAGCGATTAGAGTCGTTAAAAAGGAAAGACGATCTTAAAAAGCATCCATACGTAGTACAACAACCTTTCTCCCTATGAGAATATCTTAGAGAATTCTTATTAAAGTACATTTTCTAAGGCTCTCTAAGGTACTATATTCAACTCGATGACTCTTCTAACGATCCGGAATCTGGTAGCGAATAATTGTACGCTCGGCTATTAATCTATAAAACAATTAACGACGTTGAGCCATTTCAGGGTTAACTATTCGGACCTTGTTGTTGTAAACCGTTTTAACGATTACGATTATAAATATTCCAAATATCTTTTCAATGTTTTTTTCCTTTCCAATCGTGTAGTATGCGCAATGGGAAAAATTAATTACTTCCTATGCTTTTACACATTGGACTTTTATTTTATTCGTTAAATTTGTTCTTAGTTAGTTTTTCTTCTTTTTTTATTTTTTTTCTACTTATCTATCAATTTTATTATGGAAAATAATAATTATTGCGATTAGAAGAAAATAATTTTATTAAAAATCATATGTGATTACTTGACACTCTTTCTCGTAAAAAGTTCTTTTTCAAGTATGCCGAACGATCGTTCGAAAATCATCGTCTCAATCGTTCGACCGGTTTTTGACGGATCGTCGAAGGGTTCCCCATGACTATGTGGTAAGTAGCATCAATGTAATCAGATAGGCTGCTCAGAGCTAAATTAACGATGCTCGTAAATGCGATACATCAGCAGATTTTTCAACGTCTTTTCTTTCTTCATTCTTTTTTCGTTTTTCTTTTTTTTTTCATTTTTGTCTTCGTTCTTTTCTTCTTGTCTTCATCTCTTCCACTTCTTTCTTGTTATCTTCCCCTCCTTTATTTCGTTCTTCTCTTACCACTATCGCAAAGACACTCGCGATCACAAACATCTCCCATCCCTCCCTTTCACTATACTCACTTTATTTTTTTTTTCTCCCCCTATAAAATAATCGATTTTATCCGACGAATATTAAACGAGAGAATCTAAAAGTCAACGTCAATTGGAAAAATATCGCAATAAATGGGGGTGTTTGCATAAAATTTATAAAAAGTATTCTCGATAATTAGATTAAACAATCAGATTAAAAAGAAAAAAAACAGAAAATAAGAAATATCATTTATATTTGAATACACAAACACAGATAACAGGAATCGTGTATGATAATATAAAGATTATAAATTAATTAAGTCTTCATATCTAAATTATATCTAAAGAATACTAGTAGACTGAAGAAACTTAAATCTTTTTTATATGTATTATATTATTACTTGAATTATCACTTGACAGTGTTATTATTACATATCTGACTAG